GTTGAAGGATGCAGGCCTAGAAAAATCATTCTGGGCAGAAGCAGTCAATACCGCCTGTTATTTGGTGAATCGAGCTCCATCAACTGCAATAGAGCTGAAGACACCAATGGAGACATGGATTGGTAAACCAGCTGATTATTCAAACCTCCATGTATTTGGAAGTATTGTGTACGTGATGTAAAACTCCCAAGAAATCTCAAAGCTGGATCCAAAATCCAGGAAATGCAAATTCTTGGGGTATGCTGATGGAGTCAAGAGGTATCGCTTGTGGGATCCCACTGCCCGCAAAGTGATCATCAGCAGGGATGTTATCTTTGTAGAAGATAAACTACAAAGAAAAGAAGACAATGATAGCACTGAAAAAGTCAGAGACTACACAGATACATGTGGAAAAGGAGGTTGAACAATGAGATTCTTCTGAAGCAGAACCATCACATGATGAACAAGAACCAGAGAGTTCTGAAGCTCCAACAACTCGTCAATCAGATCGTGTGAGAAGGCGTCCCAATTGGCACTCAGATTATGTTATAGAAGGTAATATTGCATACTGCCTTTTAAAAGAGGACGGTGAGCCATCAACATACCAGGAGGCAATAAACAGCTCAGAAGCTTCACTGTGGATGATGGCGATGCAAGAAGAAATCGAAGCCCTTCATAAAAATAATACATGGGACCTTGTGTCACTACCACAAGGAAGGAAGCCAATTGGTAACAAATGGGTCTTCAAAATCAAGCGAAATGGTGACGATCAAGTTGAGAGGTATCGTGCAAGACTGGTGGTCAAAGGATATGCTCAAAAAGAAGGTATTGATTTCAATGAAATATTTTCTCCTATGGTTCGACTAACAACAGTTCGGGTAGTTTTGGCAATGTGTGCTACATTGAACTTACATCTAGAGCAGCTAGATGTTAAAATTATTTTTCTTCATGGAAATCTTGAAGAAGAATTTACATGCTCCAGCCTGAAGGTTTTGAAGAAAAAGAAAAGAAGAACTTGGTTTGCAGGTTGAACAAATCTCTGTACGGTCTAAAGCAGACGCCGAGGTGTTGGTATAAGAGATTTGATTCCTTCACTATGTGCCTTGGATACAACAGACTTAATGCAGACCCTTGTGCTTATTTTAAGAGGTATGGTGATAACGATTTTGTTATATTGCTGTTGTATGTGGATGACATGTTGGTTGCAGGACCCAACAAAGATCATATTGAAGAATTGAAGGCACAACTGGCTAGGGAATTAGAAATGAAGGACTTGGGATCAGCAAACAAGATTTGAGGGATGCAAATTCTTCGAGACAGAAGTAATAGGAAGATTTGGCTTTCACAAAAGAATTACTTGAAGAAGATTTGTCACGATTCAACATGCAAGATTGTAAGCCAATTTCTACCCCTCTTCCTATTAACTTCAAATTATCCTCCAATATGAGTCCTAGCAGTGAAGAAGAGAGGATGAAGATGTCTCGAGTACCGTATGCATCAGTAGTGGGAAGTTTAATGTTCGCTATGATATGCACAAGACCAGACATTGCACAAGCAGTGGGAGTGGTTAGTCGGTACATGGCGAATCCAGGCAAAGCATTGGAATATTGTAAAGAGGATCCTCTGATACATCAAAGGGACCTCAAATGTTGCATTATATTACGGAGGATCAAACTTACTAATCAATGGTTATGTAGATTCTGACTGTGCATGGGATTTGGATAAAAGCAAATCTACTACAGGATATGTGTTCAAAATTGCTGGTGGAGCTATAAGATGGGTTTCAAAATTGCAGTCAGTTATGGCTACGTCCACAACAGAGGCAGAATATGTAGCAGCTACACAAACCAGTAAAGAAGCAATTTGGTTGAAGATGCTATTGGAGGAGCTTGGGCACAATCAAGAGTATGTCTCTCTGTTTTGTGACAGTCAAAGCGCCTTGCATCTAGCAAGGAATCCAGCATTTCATTCAAGGACAAAGCACATACGAGTTCAGTACCATTTCATTCGTGAAAATGTGGAAGAAGGAATGGTAGATATGCAGAAGATCCATACCAAAGACAACATAGCATGTAACCCCCACAGACCGATGCGGTAACCCGATCCGATCTAGGAAGTCACATTAGGGTCACAGGAGCGACCCACCATAAAAATAACAAAAATTTTAAACCTTTTTATCAGAACATGTAAATTTATAAAATCATTTGCCACTATTTAAAAATAAAACAGATTTTCACGACTCGTATATAAAACAAAATACAATTACATGCCCCCTAATCACATATACCGTTCTCTGCAACAACGCCGTACGAACTCCCTTACTGAAGTCGATAGATGCACTGGTACAATTCTTTTAACCTGAAAATGTGAGTAATAGAGTGAGCTTTGGAAAGCTCAATAATACAGAACTACTAGATGATGCTGATGAACGTGCAGATACAGATAAATATATATTTCCTTATTGTTTCCGAACATGTACAGATTTCTATGCTGAGCAAAGATCCTACTGATATTTCAGGTGGTAACGAACAATGAGCTTTCAGTTCAGAGAAATATTTCGGATGACTGAGTTCAAGAGATCAGAATAGGTTTTCTAGTGTATTCCCAAAAGCCATGTAACTTTTCAGATCTTTTTAAAACATATATATATATATATATATACCCCCATCCCAACACAACATAATGTGTAGGTTCCCCAGAACCATACACCCAACCCAACACAACATATAAGGCCCTGAGCACAAAGCCGAGGAACCTGCGAAAATTCTTCCTTCAACAATACCCCCAATTAAAACATTTTTCCGTCATTAAACGGAGATATCAGAAATCAAAACAGAATTCAGAACAGATATTAGAACAGAATCCATATCAGAAATCAGAACAGAATTCAGGTCATGTATCAAAACAGAATTCAAGTCGAAAAACAGATAAAATAATTATATGATTAGGGAACACACCAGGGTTTATAATTATTATTCGGAGGTACTGGATAATCTTAGCAAGTAGAGAAACACGGATCTTCAGTATACCGATAGAATGTCAGAATTTAGAATCACTGTTGGAAAAGTTCAATAACTAACGGAATCATCAGTTATTCAGAATGTGAATTATCAGGATCATATCTTATTCGGACCGTTTTCAGAAGTTGTACGTAATCAGAAGGGTATTCAGGATCTTTTACATCCATATCAATTGAGCAGATAATCGAACAACTTAACAACGAAGATTCAGAACCTTAACAATCTATGTCGACTGGTCAATTCATTTTTCTTCCAGGATATTTACTCTTTAATACCATAATTTCTAGTCCATATATTATATTCGGAATCATCGTTAAATAAATCTTCCAATGTCTTTATTTCATGTTCACTTTCACTATACATGAAATGCTGACGTGCTTGATTTGTAATTCATGATCCATAAGAACATTACATCATGTATGTTCATTAACATTTCCAGATTCATCCAAATCACTTATTTAATCCTCAGTCCTTGAGGTTACTTAATTTATTTAGCATTCAAGTGCATTCCAGTTACTTCGGGATTTTTCAGAGTAATTCAAACGTTCTTGAATTTCAGATACATGTTGTACTTCCGTTTCATTCAATTTGGTCTTCGTGGTTGATTTGTCGAACAAACATCCAAATCTTAGTGCTTAACGCGATCTAGAATTGAGCTGAGCTGAATACTTCCAAAATTATCATCGAGCCAAGCTTGAGTAGACAAACATGCATTCAAGTAATATCTATGTCGTTCATGTACTGACATATTATTAAGGTTGATCGGCTCACTTAAGTTGTGTTTCATAACTTTTAAAAGTAGTCCAATACCTATGCTTATTTGTATTCCTTAATTAATCCAAGGTATTTACTTAGTTTTCTTCCAGCTACCAACACCCCCTAAAAGACAGCTTTTGAGAGCACTAGCTCCTTACCGAGAGTATAAGCAAATCTTGGCCAAAGAAAAACGGACCCATTCACGCTTTAGCCTGCAAACTACCCCATGAAAATAATACCGATTCTATAGCTCCAAATGTTTTGTATTAAAAAATCAAGCAAGAGATTAGGATCCATAACAGACTAATCCGTGAAAATATCATCCAACTTCCCGTCGAGCAGCTGATCTCCAACATTCTCTTTAAATTAATGATACAATTAATTTGCAACGTCGATCACTTCTTCAATAATTGGTTTATGCTTCAAGAAACCTGCTAGCATTACTTCTAAAATATCGTTGGAGAAATTCAACCAAGAACCACATCAATTGTACATGAACCGCAACTGAACAATGCTTCTTCCAAAATCTGCATTGCTCTGTGAGAAAATTAGTCTGGAACGAAAATGTTGATCGCAGCTACCGAGTTTTTTTTTTTTTTTTGAGATTTCGGTGAGGAGAACAGTGACGCGGCGAAGAGGGAACCTCAGCGGATTCCACCCCGTCCCTTGTTGTAGTGATTGATTCCGCTGGTTCAGCCTTTAGATTTTCTTGGACATTATGTTTCTTCTGGGAGGTGATTTTCTTGAAAGTTGAAACTTTAATACAAATGAATCTTTTTTTCAGAAAAAATATTGAATTCTTTAACGTTTTTAGATTCAAGTACTAGTAGCAATGAAAGTAAAAATTGGCGCATTTATAGAAGAAAGTGACTGCCTTATCCCTCTCTTGATGGACTCCTCTAATTTGGTCAACTTGAATCTTATGAAACTTCTGGGCTTGAAAAATGTGGAGGTGATCGCTCATACCAATGAATGGAAGCGGATGTTGAGCTTCCCATGTTTAGTACTTCAAACTAAAAAAGAAAAAGTTTCAACTGGGTTAACTGATTTTTTACATCTGCTTCACAAATTTATTGGGAAGGGGTTACAACAACAGATGGTGCTTCTTTCTTGGATACCATCAAGATCAAGATTAAGAAGAGATGTTTTCTTGGATTTATCACAAAGATACTGAAATTAAATCCAAAATTACAAGATTAGATCTTTAATTTCTTCAACCATGATTGCTACATGTACTGTGGGTTAGTCTGTAGTCAAAGCATTTCTTTCCTTACCTAATTGTGTTCTATGGGATTAATATGTACATTTAATTTCTTTTACAATATGATAGGCAAATGAATCAGTAGTTATTCACAATTTGAAATCATTTAGAAGCAAAAACTTCCATGATAACAGAATTCAGAATCTCATCACCAGCAACCTGTCGGAACTTCCTCATCAAATCATCCTTGCTCAACGTTCCTGCCTGTGATAAACAATTGAATTTTAAAAGAAACTTCCATTACAAGCAACAAGGAACATCTTCATCTGATAGAACATGCAGCCTACTTACCCTGTATGTACTATATGAAGTTGATACTTCCCGGAATTGGGCAGGAGGAAGAGAGTCCCTAATCTTCAAAAACACTTTTTCAAGGGAACAAACTTTCCTTACTTGACCTACAAGAAAACATCCAGTTAACTACTAAAACATATAGGGGGGAGGGGGGCAACACCAAGGAGAGTGTAAAAGTTTACCTTTCATGTTACTAGACGGTTTGAAACTCACAACGAACTCGGGAAGAATATGAGTTTCAGCATTGTTTGACCATACCACATACCACCTAGGGTTCTTAGGATCATCAGAACCAGTATCAAACTCCACCGTTGATGAGAAATCTTGTTGTGATCCAGCTTCCACTTTTTCGACCTCTCCCAATACAACTCGGCACAGAATGAGACGCGTTACACCATTTTCATCTGCATCAGCCAGTTCTGCACTGCATCAGTTAATCCAACATTAAAACAGATCAAATAACAATCTAGAAATTAAAATTACTCAAAAATAAGTGGTTTATACTTGCGAGGCGTCTCTTGTAGGACAAAACCAAGCGATTTTCATGTCAAAGCAAGCAATTTACAATAACTATTAAGGAGTAGTTAAAAATATCAATTCAAACTTATCAAGAATATGTTGTTTTTTCACCCTTTGAGATCAGCTGATGTAAATATGGCATAACTATATTACTAATAGATTGAACAATTATATTAAACTCACTTCGAATGTTGATAACTAAATTAAGATTTGATGCTCATGTTGATGATTAAATTAGAAAAAGAATCCAACTTGATTCATATTATACAATAAGTGACCATCATAGGAATTTGAAATGATTAAAATGAAGAAAATTGGCAATGTACGAGCCAATACTCTGCCTTGGCCACCGAACTGAAGGCTGAAATATTAGAAAAACGTAATGAATTACCTCAAGTGTGGCAAACCTAAGGGAGAGAGATAAATGCCAATCCCATAAATGTCAGTAGAGGGAACCTTAGTGGGCAACACGAAACCATGATCCAGAATACTCCCTACAAGCCTGGCAGATGCCCCATACCATGCTTGTATCACATTGGAATTACCTCTTGTCGCATTTATAATCTCATTCTGCTTCTGAAAAATGTCACTACGAGGTGCTTCCCAATCAAACTTATAAATCGAAGTAACTTCTACTCCATCATATATCACGCTTATTCCGCTCAAGAAATGATTATTAACTACCAAATACTCTCTCTCTGTTTCTCTCAGCCGCTTCATAGTATTAGGCCATTTAGCAGGTCCTCCCTCTTCCAAACGCTGATGTGTAATCGCAATTACTTCTGCAGTTTTGTCATAGGAACCTTTAGACTTATCAAGTCGGTTTCTTTTCGAAGGAGTTGGATCAATCTTGGTGACAATCTCAACCTCAGGACTGCTGTTGTCTTTTGTTTGCAATCGCAGCTAATATTAACATCCCTTTCGTTTCCATGTTCAGATCCATCGCAGAAAAACCGTTAGGGAAAAAACACTTGCCATTGTCATCTATCCAAGAAACTGAGTGCCAACTTCCCGTCGAGCAATTGATCTCCAGCATCCTCCTCAAATCAATGATACAGTTTTCACCGTTGATCACAGCTTCGATAATCGGTTTCCTCTTCAAGAAACCTTCACGCACTGTTTCTAAAACAGCATCTGAGAAGTTCAACCAGGAACCACAGCTATAGTACATGAACCGCGACGGAACAGCACTTCGTTCGAAATTCGCAATATTCTGCGAGAAAATTAGTTTCGGGCAACAGTGTTGATTGCAGCTACCTAGATTCATTGGAGATTTCGCTGAGGAGAACGGCGGCGGCGGAGATGGAACCCAGCAGATTCCACCCGACCCTTTGTTGTTGAAGCGATTGGAACCCCTGATTCAACCACTTTTTTTTCCTTCTTGAAAGTTATTTTTCTTTCTTGAGAAGTGATTTTCTTGAAAGTTTTTAATTGAACTCTCTAAGATTCTAAAAGGTTTTAACAAAGAACAGGTCGGATACTAGATTGGAAGTAAAAATTGTTCAAAGTTGTATTATATAAATGAGCGCTGAAACTAAATTCGTGGCCAGTTAGAACTGGGTTTTACGAATATACAAAATTAGGTCTTCCAGAGACGTTTGAGGACGATAGGAAGGGAAAACATAAAGATATCTCGGATATTTCTGATTACTTTGAGGTTAAATTGAGAGTTTTACGAATTTGAGGCCCAAAAGAATACTCTGTATCCCAAAGGACAGCATGTTCAATCCGATAATGTAATTATATTTTAAAGTACAGATTTATTTGCGATCAAGAATCTGTCTTAAATTATATTTGTAAGTTTTTTTAAGAATCTGATACATGCTATTCAATGTCATGACTATCATGGCATTTAATATTAAGGGTAAATTACGTCAATTGTCACTAATGTTAGGGTAAGTATTCGTTTTTATCATTAATGTTTAAAAAGTCACAAATCAATCACTAACATTATCGTTTGTTACAAAATGGTAACTCGACGTTAACAACCATTAATAAACGTGATGAAAAACACAGCTGGACTGTTATCTGCTGAGTTGGATCGTTGACCGCCATTTTGACTGGCTCTTCATCTTCTTCAACTCATTCCCCATCTTCTTCAACTCATTCCCTATCTTCTTCTTCTTTCTTTCTCTTCACTTTTCTTATTTTCCTTATCACACATGACACAACCCTCACCTCCAAAGGCCAAACCAAACATGGAAACTTGGTTCATCATCGTCATCACCATTTCTTTACTTCTTAGAGCTCTTTTTAACCTCCGCTCTTCCACCTCCAAAACAAAATCCCAAACTCTCCCTCTAGGCCCTCCCAACATTCCCATTATCTCCACCATCCTATGGTTAAGGCGAAACCTTTTCAAGCTTGAGCAGATCTTCCGTAACCTCCACACAAAGATCAGTTTGATGGTCACTCTCAATATTCTTTCTCGCCTTTCCATTTACGTCTCCGATTGTTCCCTCATCCACCAGGCTTTAGTCCAAAGTGGTGTTTATTCGCCGACCGCCCGAAGCTCATATCGTAATCAGCAAGATTATAAACCACAATTGGCATAGCATAAGCTCAGCTTCCTGTGATCTAACTTTGAGAATTTTGAGGCATAACCTCATATGTGAAATCCTCCATCCTTTGCTTGTCAAACTGTATTCTCATGCTCGAAAATGGGTCCTTCAAATCAGTTGGATTCTTTCACGTCGAGCTCAAAAACTGGAAGAACAATTCGAGTGGTTGATAATTTCAACATGCTATGTTCTTCTTGTTAGTGGTAATGTGTTTTATTGACAAGCTTAATCGAGATCGGATCATAGATGTCAAAACTGTGTAGCATTGACTCGAGCGAAAGATTCGGCCTAAGGTGACTTGGTTTTTACTTCGTAAATGTTGGAATGAATTCCTCAATGTCGTTGAAGACCAAGAGAAGGTGTTGATTCCTCTGATAAGAGCCCGAAAGACAATGTCGTCTCGGCGTATGTCAATACATTGCTCCGTCTTTAACACGCAGAGGAAACTAACGGAAAAGGAAATCATCAGCTTGTGTTTCGAGTTTTTGAACTCCATAACAGACACTACTTCCACTAATTTGCAGTAAATCATTACGAACATGGTGAAATACCCTCATGTTCAAGAGAAACTATTCATGGAAATCAAAGGGGTAGTGGAAATCAAAGAGCTCCAAAAAGTAGAGAAATAGTGATGATAATGGTGAAGCAAGTTTCCATGTTTGGTTTGGTCTTTGAAGGTGAGGGTTGTGTCATGTGTGTGATAAGAGGAAAAGAAAAAAAGTGAAGAGAAAGAAAGAATAAGAAAAGTGAAGAAAAGAAGAGAAGATGGGGAATGGGTTTAAAAAGAAGAAGAGTTGGTTAAAATGGCGGTCAACGATCCAACTCAACAGATTACGATCCATCTGTGTTTTCGTTACACTTATTAACGACTATTAACATCGAGCGACCATTTTGTAACAAACAATAACGTTAGTGATTGATTTGTGACTTTTTAAATATTAGTGGTTAAAAGCGAACACTTATCCTAACATTAGTAACCATTGACATAGTTTACCCTAATATTAACTTATAGAATAAGATATTATTCCCTCTATCTCATTAAGTTTGTCTGTTGTTGACTTTTGTTTGTCAAAATTTTTAAATTTTAACTTATTATTTTAATTTTATTATTGATAAAAATATGAAAAAATATTTTAAAAACATTAAATCATGATTTAATTTTGAATATATATTTTATAAAATTAATTATTTAAAATATGTAAAATAATTATGAACAAAGTTTAAAAAAATTACTTTTAAAAAGTTAATAATAGACCCATTTAGTAGGAAAAAATTATTTTGACTACCTAATTATATCATGTTAGATATGCTTATTTGTTAATATAATTCTTTCTATACATTACATATTTATTGTTGAAATAATATTATTCATTTAAATACATAAATATATTATCTAAAACTAAAATAAATGTTATATAATTATTGTATTAAAACTTATATAAATATACTATGCTTTAGTCACTAACATTTTTAAAGTAATGGTTGATATTTTATATTTACATCTCTAGATTTATAATCCAAATTTTTATAGTGTTATCTTCTTCCGTATTATAAATTGTTAAAATAATTAATTTCTTAAAACTTAGTTAGCTATGAATAGAAGCTTGAGTTTCATTTAGATTCGAGGTACGCAACTTGAGTTCAAATTTAAAATCTTTATTAATGTTAATTAAAAAATCAATTAATGTAACATCAATTTCGGAAAAGGTAAATTATTATTCATCATTTTAATTAGAATAAAATAAGAATAAAATCAGGCGCACGTTAAGTCTTCTCTCTCAGTGCATGCTAGCTGGGCTAACAGCAATTGAAGACGAGGCCATCTTCTCTGCGATTCTTGATTTTTTTCTGCATTTTCGAGTTTCTTTTAGGGGGTTTTATCGGTTTATGGCTGGTGGGGAAGGCATTGACTAGATAAAGCTCTTCGCAGCGGGGGACGATCAAGAGCTGGATTTCTTCCCTCCTTCGGTGGTTGAGGGTTCCTGTGTTGTGAAACTGCCTCGATTCGTATTTGAGGAAGGGATCTTGGAGTGGAGGTTCTCTTTAGTTGGTCAATTTGTTGGACCAGCTCCAAATTTTGCTGCTCTCCAGAAAGTCATCGGTCTGATGGGGAAAAGATTCACGGTGAAGGTGAGTTAGCTGGTTCGAGCTTATTTGTCTTCTCTTTTGTAAATTCTTCTCCCATGGACTAGGTTTTAGAAAATGGTCTCTGGCATGTTCATCTTAAACCGCTTTCCTTAGGAAATGGGAGCCCAATTTGAAGGAATTGCAATTTGATTTGCTTTGTATGCATGTTGGATCCAACTCTACAATGTGCCTTTAGAATTATTTTCGAAAAAAGGGCTTAGCTATATTGCCAGTGTGATTGGGAAGCCCCTTCATATGGATTGATTACTGCTAGCAGGGAAAGGCTTGAATATGCCCGTGTTTGTGTGGAGATATCTGCTAGGTTTTAGATTCCGAATTTTATTAACGTGGTTCTTTGTGATAAGTCTTTAGTTAGGATCAGAGTTATGTTCCTTAGTTGCCAAATTCCTGTGCTAACTGTAGCCGTTTTGGGCATTATAAGAAATTTTTCCCCCAGATTAGGAGAGTTGAACAGGTTTGGAGGGTTAAGACACATATGCAAGAAGTTAGCTCTGGAAAGAATTGTGAGGCTCTGAAATCTTGGAAGCTGTTAACATTGATGGTGGAACTGTGCCTATTGGTGCAAGTCTCAGTGTAGCTTCAGATTTAGGGGACTTAATTCTGGTAAAGAGCACTATGATGTTGCATGTGCTATTATGGGAAACCGGACTATTGTTGTTGATAGTAATCGGATGCTTCAAAAAGCTTGTTTAAGGCTTCAGTGCCTGGAGAGTCTAACCCTGGCAAAGTGAAAATAGTTCTGCATATGCTGCAGTGGCCCAATTTATTTCCACTGGCAAAAATTTGCCTACTAAGGTGGTTTTCCCTGAAGTTTGGATGTTTGTCCAGTGTTAGATGGGGCTGGAGCTGGAAATGATTTGGCTACCCTGGGAGTTAAGCAGTCTAATATTGTGCAGGCTATTAATCCTCCTCAAAAAAGAGGCAGAGGAAGGCCTGCTAAGGATGGCAAAACTGTTGGGGGATGATCTAAGAATAAGTTTGATATCCTTAATTCAACTGATCCTGACAGCTTGTTGGG